TTGTAACCAATGCATGCAGATTTTATCTTTTGCAATTGGCTCGTAATCATTTTTAGTAATAGGCATAAATTGCAAAAGGCTCCCGATGACAAATGTGGTGAAAGTGATATTATTTTTCTTAAAAAAAAAAAAAGGCTTTTCAGTCCAGGAACCTTCATTCTCATTGAAATTAAAAAATCCATAATCTTATTTGTATTCTGACACAATCGACAATCAGAAACACTATATATGTAAGTTAAAGGCGGGCGGTTTACCATAACTATCATTACTCTCTATAATGATAGGATCCAATTGTCTTGATGAAAGGTTTGAATTATAATCCAATAAAGAGAAGATTCAATTCTCTGGTTTGACAATCATCATAACCATTTTCCAATAACATGTTCATATCATATTTTTTATAATTATCAATAAATTTTCGAGCCTCAGCAATAAAACGCAGGGCGCGCTAGAATTTTAGCGCGATTAACTGCCGTTAATATTGAATTTTGTTTTATTTAGATCCAAGTTTCAGCTATGGCGATAATTGAGATAAATACGAGTGAATAGGAAAATATCTTGCAACGATTGAGAATTATTATCATCCAAAATTGTTTCAAAAAGGTTCTTTTCCTTTAAATAAGTGGCGAAATAGCCTTCAGCCCTTGTTTTCAAGGGAAATGATATTCGGTCAATATATTTGAAGTCTTTGGCACGGTGGATATTTCTTTAAACCATTAAAAATTAAATAAAAAATCTTATCAAAAGATTTGTTGAGTGAAAATTCAATCAGTTATTATTTATTATTTATCACCTTTACTGATTTATATAAAGAAACATCACAATCAATTTTTTATTTTCTCGCCAATTACTTTCTAACAGCAACAGATATAAGATAGATATAGACATAATTTTTTTTATCATAAACAATAAAATGTTCAAAACTCAAGAATTCGACTTTTTTATTATGAAGTAAACAAATAAACTGATGATCAATAACAATCCTGAGTATATCGAAGATTCCTCTTCTGCTCGACGGTTATACAAACTATCAAGTATAGCCTTTTGTTTTGAAATTTCTTGATTTTCGTATATAAGATAAGAGGCTGTAGCCTTTTAGTTTATCAAAAAATATTTTAACAATAATAACAATAACCATACTGTTAATTAAAGTATCTCGCATGTAAAGGTGTCACGAAACGATTGGGACAATGTTTTTCTTGTTAAGCATTATTTTATTTAGTAAAAAGAAAGAGGAATGAATTTTTCGTGTGAGAACCCCAAAAATCTATATTTAAGGGTGGAACTACATATGTAACCAATTTAAATATTAAAAAGAACCATCTTCACAAAGTAGCAACGGCAGTAATTAATTATGTGCGAATTTTCTTTTCTGTGACCACAACAAATAAACCAATGCCAATTATTCCTTTACTTTACATTATCAAGTGAGTACTTTAAGAAAAGAACCATCACTAATTTGATTTTGTAATTATTTGTAAAACGTATTATTAAAGTCACATGACATTACACGTTTCAGAGACTCCCTACACCCCCTAAATCAAATGATATTTGGCGGTCCCATAATAAAATTAAAATGTATGAATCTATAATTATTCGTACATAAAATGTTAGTGTTGTGTACGTGCTTGAAAGAAAATACAAAAAAGTTGGGGAAAAAAAAAATTAAAGAATGTGTAATTTTAAAGTTACGCGTGACTAGTACAAATCACGCTATCGTGTCAAAAAAACCAAAATGTATTGTAATATAGCCTTTTTACTATTATTAATGATTTTCTTTTCTAACATATTTATCTTTTCTTTTATAAACTTATTAAAATTTCCTCACAGATCTTTGCTTAAATCTTTTTAATTTGTATTATTAAGAAATTATTGATTGATAAATTAATATTCATTAAACTGATTGATTGATAAATTAATTGATAAATTCGTTGGTAATTGATTGATATAATGATGCTAATTAATTAATTAATTATTCATCTTCTTGTCTTCGCGATGTTATTCTTGAGCTCTTATAGCAAGCTTCCTTCGCGACACTTTTCTTTCCGATATTTATATAGTTAATTAAAATTAATTAAATATGATCTTCAAAATTCTTTGTTGCTATTTTTTATTTATTTATATATATTTGTACATATATATATATACATATATATATATACACATTTACATATATATTAATATACATTATACAATGAATAATTCTAAATTAATTAATTATATATTAAAAAAATAGTGATTGACTCATCTTTGTTTACAATCTTTATATTCTAAATTAGATGACTTAAATAATTGAACATGTTGAATTATTTCGGTACGTAATACATGACGCGTGGAACTTTAAAAATTACAATATTTCTCTTCTTTATTTGTTATATGTGTGTGTAATAATAGTGAATAACATAATGTACATATTATTAATATTAATTACTGGTTTGAATTAATTAGTCATTAGTCATTTGGCTTTTACACACAAAAAAACACACATACCGTTTATTACCAAATTCCTATAATATTTATTATTGTTGTCATATATTACGTTGATTATGAAAAACTCCCCAAATAATTTATTTTGTACGAGATTGATTGGTGTAGCACGCACTTTATTAAGTGTTGTCACTTCACTTAATTAGTCACAGGTTATGAATAAAATTGTAATAAATAGAACAGTGATAGTTTTTTATGATTCAGTTTGGTTTCTCTCCAATCAAATTTTTATCTTTGATTTTTGATTTTTGAGGACCAAAATCCTTTAATAAATATTTTTAAAAATATTTTGAAAAGTAAAAATAAACAAACATCATTAATATTATTTATTATAAAGACTTTCTTCAACTACTTACAAAATAATAATAATATATTAAAACAACTTATTATATAACAGTCTCCTAGATATATATACATTGTTGTTTTTGTGCTTCGTTTCTTTTTACTCCTAAATATTTCTCACATCTCGCACCTAATCATTCTCATTTCATATTCTCAATTATTCAACACTACTCACATATTCTCACCACCTTACCTCACCTCACCAAACTCACCATCACCTTACTTTAAATTGCCAGCCGGTAAATTTAAATTTTCAAGCTCTTCAACGAAAAGGCTTCTAGGACAAAAAAGCTCGCGTCTGTTAATATATCGGATTCTTTATTGGTACTTGTTATTTTCATTTTTATTATAATAAATAATATATTGTTATTATATCTCTATTTTTTTTCAAGTTATTATTTTTATTTGAATTTCTTTCGAGAAAAACTGATTTTTATTACAATAAAAAATTTAAAAATTTAAAAATACTTATTATTAATAATTATGGCGTGATTATGAATGTGTGTATTTGATGATATCTCAACAGCAGGTTGATGCATCAAAAATTTATTATTGTTGCTATTATTATTTTATGTATTATATATTATATGGTGTTATATTTGTTATTTATCATTGATTTATCAATATAATTAAGAAGTTTAAAGACCGAAAGTTTATAAAAGTTTATTACATATCTTATATCATTATATACATATAAGTATAAAACGAATTCTAATCAATTTTCCTTTTTTTTTTTTTAAAAAAAAAGAAAATCTTCAAAAATCACAAATCAAAAAATATAATTAATATTTTATAGTGCCTTCTTGCCAGACGAAAGAAGAATTCACCTGGTCAAAAAAAAAACATACGATATAGGAGCAACTGAGAAAGAAAGAAAAAATATATAATAAATAAACGATCCAACCAAAGAAAACAATATATACAAAGCGTCCCTTCATTCCTTTGGTTGAAAGTATTTTTCGTGTACGAGAAATCTCAAAAGGTTTGCGGGGCCGTACAACATTTCTTTTTATTAGGAGCAATAATTGTTGCTTTTAACAGGCATCTCACATCATCATTCTTTCTTCAGATTACTCGTTGATAATTTAGCCTGGTATATCTTTTTAATTTCTCAACTGGTTTAGTTTCTTTAATAATAAAACCATTTATTGATTTTCTTGTAATGTACTAAATCTTATCTACTTTATAATATTATATTTTTATATTCATTTAATCATTAAGTTGTTTGTATAGTCAGTCAGTTCAACAAGAGGAGTGCGTGTTACGTCTTCTTTCCCATTCTTCTTTACCTCACTACATTCTTAATCTTGCTATATATGCAAGTATCTTCACTCCTTTCTATACAACAAAAAAAAATTCTTAAACCTTAAACCTTAATTAAATAGTATTTCAAGTTTTATAAATATATATTTACCAATCATCGCCACATTATTTTGTACATCCTTCTTCCCTTCACTCTCACTATTATTATTTTCTAAATTTGTAATATAGTTAATATACATAATTTCTATTTCCTTTTTTATTTTCCCCTTTTTATTTTAATTAATTATTTTAATTATTATATATATAAACACCCTTCAATATTATTTAATTTACTGACAAATAGTGTCAGTATGGAGTATTAAATTTTTTAAAAAAAATTACCACTTTTTATTTTTTCTTCTTTTCAAAAAGATGTCCATATTTTCATTCAATCAACTTCACCGCGTTAATCATCACCACCACCATCACCACTATTATTTGAGTACTTGTTTATTGGTTGATCAGCGATTCAACGACAACAAAATAGCAAACTCTTCATTCAACATCATCAAATAAAAAAAACCCCATTAACATCATCAACAACATTCTCGATCTATATCAATAATTATTCAAAACAATTATATATAATAACTTTCATTAACTTATCAACAAAAACATCAAAAATACCACAATTTGTAATTTTCACCCCAACAAATTTTATCAATCCCGCGTTTTCTTTCTTTTTCACACTTTACCAACTTTTTATTTTCTCTTTAATCTTTGGTTATTATTACCAAAAATTATTTAAAAAAAATCTCAAGCGGGTTCTTGATTTTATTAATCAAAAAAAAAAAAACAAAATTTATTTCTTCTAAAACAAAAAAAAAAAAAAGCAAAGTTATATAATTAATTTATCAATAATACAAAACATGGGTTTTAAAAGATCTTCATCCACCCCAACCAGACCTGCTACACCAATGATCGACGAACCAATCTCTAAATATCAACAACCATTAATACCTGGACCCTTAACATCGCCGATCATTTTACCATTTAAAATCGGTTCAACAATTGTAAATAGTAAGGATGGCTTGGAGTATCAATTGATTCGGCCACTTGGCAACGGTTCATACGCTGTTGTTTATATGGTTCGCGAAAAATCTACAAATAAATTTTACGCTTTAAAATGTTTATCTAAAGCTGAACTAAACGATGATCATTTGGAAGTTCAACGCAATGAGGTAAATATATATTAATTCGTTTTTTTTAGCGATAAAAACAATTATAGTCATTATTAATTCATTTTATTTATTAATTCAATTACTAACTATCGATTAATTTTTATTGTTAGGTGCTTCTTCATGAAAAACTTTCACATCCTAATATAGTGAAATTGGAACATTATTTTGAAACATCGGAATGGCTCTTTCTAGTGCTCGAGTATTGTGAAGGCCAAGATTTATATTATTGGTTGACTCAAAATAACGATGCCATAGATACAAGAACTGGTAAACGTTTATCAGAACACGAAAGAATAAATCTCGTAGAGCATGTCTTTATGCAAATCTTGGAAGCTGTAGGCTATTGTCATAGTAAAGGTATTGCTCATCGTGATCTCAAACCTGAAAATTTTATTGTCATGGTTAATAAGAACAATAAAAAAAATAAGAACAAAAGCGGTCATGGTGATAATAACGGATATGGATTTGAAATACAAATAAAATTGACCGATTTTGGTTTGGCTACTGATGAAGTTGAATCAATTGATTTTGATTGTGGCTCTAAACCTTACATGAGTTATGGTTAGTTATATTCACTCATTCACTCATTCACTCATTCATTCACTCATTTATTCATTTGTATTGTATTATCTAATATTTAAAAATGGTGTTTATTTTTTTCTTCTATAAATAAATAATTATAGAATGTCGTAATCCCATAGATGAAACATATAATACACGACTCGCAGATATTTGGTCATTAGGTATAATTTTTCTTAACTTGGTCTATCATCGTTCACCATGGAGTGATCCAAATCCGGACCAATGCAAATCATTTGCCTCATTTCGAACCGACAAGGTTGGATTTTTGATGCGAAAATTTCCGAGAATACCAAAAAAAGTTGCATACTTTTTGGCAAATTATGTATTCAATAGCCCTGAAAAAGGTCGGATTGAAATTGATCAATGGAAACTTTGGTGTGAAGATTTAAATGAAAAAATGAATACGGCTATTGACAGTACTAAAGACGAATCCTATAAACCATCGAGTCTTAATAGCAGCAGTCGCAGCAGCAACAAGGAGGACAATAACAAATATAATATTGATTATGACGATAATTATGATGGTGACGATGATCATGTCGCACGCCATGATTCTTGGTCAGATATTTTAGGGGCATTTGTCAAAGAATTAAGCATCAAAGACGATGACAATGATAATAAAGTTGAAATTAATAATAATGATGACCGTAAATCAATCACGTCACCATCATCACCATTCAAGGAAATTAATAATGATGATGATTATTCACCGATTGAACAGCAACCAATTATTATCACTAATGCTAACGCTAAACCACCGTCATTGACTATTGTTGTTAATGATAACGAAAATCTAGATTATGATGATTCAATTGCTGCTAATAACAGTGACGCTGATTCTGGATTTGGTACAGATGAAGATACCAATAGTAATATTATTAAACGATTACAAACAATCAACAATAATCATACACAACAAGAAGAAAATTTATCAACGACTACAAAAACTAGCGCCATTGCTACAAATATTGGTAATACTACCAATAACAATAGAAATAGTAACAGTAAAGTTCTTTTATCTGTTACACCACCAAAAATTATTTATTGTAAAGCTAAACCTTGGGATGAGCCATTAAGAACTCCTCGTGTAGACTGTAATGATTATCATCAACGTGATGACACATCACCGTCATCACCAACAACTACAACATTTAATGATCATTGGTCTTCATCTAATCAACGCCGTGAACGTGTTGAAAAACGTCGTAAAGAAAAACAGGAACAACAACTTTCTGTATGGGGTGCTAATAGACGTCGCGGATCTTTGACCAATAATAATAATTTTAGTAATGAATCAACATCACCTTCACCATGGGATTCATTTAATAATCGTTATAATCAAGTCGAGCATCCTACTACGCCTACCAAGAGATCATATAATCATTACAACAACTACAACAGCAACAAAATTTATAATAATCATTATTTTGGTCAAGATTATAATAATGATAACAACTATAATAGTTCACTTTCTATCAACAAGTCAAAAAATGTAATTAGTAAGAGATCTGCGCCTTCTTTACATCATTCACCACGTAAAACAAAAAGTTCACAATCAATTAAAAATTCTCATCGGA